TCCTCCGTTACTCCCGTTCCTTCTTGCATATGTACTAGCCCGTGTAATTTTGTCATGATATGCATAGTGTTCTCGGGCTTTCCAAACCACCGCGCATATCGTCGCTCTAGGATGCTACTAGATACCGGCACTAGTACTGCGGAATTGCTCGTGAGTCGTCGTTTCTCGCACACTCCTCGCTACCACCTCTCGCGCTCCTCCCTCCATCCTACCGTGCTCCTCCCTCCCTCCTACCGCGCTCCTCCCTCCTTGCTACCGCGCTCCTCCCTCCCTCCCTACCTGACGCCCTCCCGCGCTCCTCCCTCCCTGACGCCCTCGCTTCGCTCGCTCGACCCCTGCCTGACTCCCTCGCACTCCTCGCTCCCTCGCTCCCTCGCTCCCTCCCTCCTACCGCGCTCCTCCCTCCTTGCTACCGCGCTCCTCTCTCCCTCCCTCCCTGACGCCCTCCCGCGCGCCTCCCTCCCTGACGCCCTCGCTCGCTCCCTGCCTGATACCTTCCCGCGCTCCTCCCTCGCTCCTACCCTCGCTCCTACCGCGCTCCTCCCTTCCTCCCTACCTGACGCCCTCCCGCGCTCCTCCCTTCCTCCCTACCTGACGCCCTCCCGCGCTCCTCCCTCCCTGACGCCCTCGCTTCGCTCGCTCGACCCCTGCCTGACTCCCTCCCGCACTCCTCGCTCGTTCGCTCGCTCCCAATCCAACGCTCCCTCCCGCGCTCCTCCCTCCCTGACGCCCTCCCTCCCTGACGCCCTCCCTCCCTGACGCCCTCCCTCCCTCCCTCCCTCCTTCACTCGCTCGCTCGCTCGCTCCCTCCTGCTCCTCTGTCGACCTCAGTCTAGCCCCCGCTTCACATATATGCACCCCCTATGTTGCAATCTACGCGTTCAGTCTCCCAGCTCGTTCGGCATGTAACCTTTCTCAGCTTGGGGCAGGAAACGCATCCTGTGCCCTTCCCTGGGCTGGATTTTGTCGCGACATGTTACCTGCCACTAGCGAGGTCGCAGGGCGGGAAATGCCCGCACCACGTGACATATTCTGGATATTTCCGGCCGCCGAGCGAAGATGGGATAGGTGACTTATCCGGGGCAAGAAAATGAGCGTGACAGCTTGGTTTTACAGTAATGCGAAATGCGTGCTGAAAACTTGGAGAAGCTTTCCTATCCCAAGAATATCCGTTATCCGTAAAAGTGACGAACAGCTTTCATTTCTCGGCAATTTAGCCTTGCGCGGAACTTAGCCCCTTTCAGGCGTACGAAATGTGTGGGAAGTGCACGGGAAATGATGCCCTTTTCAGCCCCCGAGCGCTAACCGCGAAATTATCGTAAAAGGTAAGACCCCCGCATGGATTTCCCAGTAATCTCCCGGTCTGCGGAATGGCGCTTTGCCCGCCGTGTCAGCACGAGGGGCAATGACCCATGCTCTGGCCTGGAATAGGCAGGGGAAATGGGGTGAATTGTTCTCCTGGTTCTGGTGCGGAGCCAGTCTAGGAATCCGGACAATAGAACACAAAGCGCCGCATTCATCGCGTTTCTTATCGATAAGTAGGTTTACTTATCCAGATTCCGGACCCGAACCAGGCTGGTAACCAGGTTGTCGACAGGAGTCCAGTTCAGTTCAAATTCCTGGCCTGTTCAGGAGGGAAGCACGGGCCAATGCCCCTCGTGCAGACCCCATGAAGCGTAGCACAGCCACGAGGGCAGCCGCAGAAGGCACCCCTTCTTGACTTTGCCACCCGGCAATGGGGATTTTCCCGGCTCTTAGTCTGATGACGGCTCGGACACCGGTGAAGATGAACGCACTCGTCTCTCTCGGCGGTCTGTGCTATGCGTCGATGTGGCAATAGAGGCGAAGGAAGTTGGAGCCAAAACGGGCGAGCTCTCGCCTAACAACAGCGTTCCCACTCGCTCCAGCACAATTGCGGCGCATCGTTGAACACATGTACTGCAGCCGGAGATACCCCATTCCTTGGACGCTGCCGGATCCGTGCAGATCGACGCTGGGCTGGGTATAAGACACCCGCGGGCTCTTCGTCCGCACCCGCCCTCTGCCACGCCGCTTCCATGCCCCGCGACGCGAGCCCCCCAGAGCTCTCTCCTCTTGAACGCACCGCACTCTGGGTCCAGGCGCAGGCAGAACAGACCTACGAGCAACCATCACCCCCGCTCCCCGCCAGGGCATCCATCCAGACATCATCATCGTATCGCACGACATCCTCAGACGAGAGCTACGCCAAGTCGCCACTTGCCCCCATACATAACCCATACGCGATGCCTGCAGCCAGCGTGCCGCAACGGCCCCGCTACGATTCGAGGTCGCGGAGGTCGAGCCTACCCTTTCCGCAAAGCCCACCTGGTTCCGGATACCCGGTTCCGCTGGAGGTAGCGTCCCCACGCCGAGTCGAGGCCGAGGATAAGAAGGTGAGCAGCAGCAGGGCCCTGTCGCGTCCTCGATCCGTGTACGAGTAAGGCCACGCAGACTCCGAGACCATCAATCCGAAAGCAAAGAAGGCCATCGCTCATCGACCAAATCATCTCCTTGGGAGCACCCAGCCAGCGGCGAAGAGAGGACAGCGGAAGACGAGGGCAGACATGATTAGCACGAGACCGAGACCGCGAGCGTTCCCAGGAGCAGAGATATAGCGCTTCTGACACCGCAGCACGGGATACCATGAGGCCAAGGACAGGTGACATGTAGGCTTTTTGACAGGCTTGCACGTTGTATGAGTACCGGTAGGCTACGGACGCGTTCGAGTATGGTTCTATCGAGGGCGCGGACGCCTTCCCGAGATGAATGCTAGTCGGGTACCATCCTTCGCCACACATGCGAGACGCAGCAGACGAAGCCTCCCTACATAGTCATCTCAGTTCCCTGAATCGGCGAAAGGCCTTCGGCCAGCAGTCAAGCCTTTCAAGGACGTCGGATGCGAGGAGCCTACAGGAGGTGGTGGTGGATGAGCAAGCGTGAGCACGCATCGCGGCACTCGGGCCGCAGTCATCCGCGGAAAGGTCCCGTATACCATTCAGAACACTCCTCCAGCTCTGAGCACGCTAAATGAGGTAGGCTATCGTGCTGTTCTGGCGGACGTTTGGGTGAAATCATGTCTGCTTGCTTCGTAGGTCGAAGTGACACTGCAAGGCATAGGCACTCTTGTACATGCCGCTTCTCCGCATACGATTCGATTCGAAACTCCACCGTGCACACACCGTCTTCGCGTTCACTCTGCTGAAGACGACGGCCTCGTAGCCGTCCCTCTCCCAGACGCCACCTCGTGTCTAGGAGAGCTGACGTAGCCCTTTCGTCGCGTGCCGCACTCGCGTACAGCAGCAGATTCAATATCATAGCGTATGGACAGCTGACTGCAAATTGTTATCAGGCATGCTCGCGACGACTATCTGCATGGTGAGGTAAATACACTCTGGACACCCCATGTCGCCCATCTGGACGACATACGGGTGTCGGGCCATGGCTTTGTGTTTCTCTGCAGATACCTTATGGGCGCCCCTGGAGGAAGAAATTCGACTACCGCTCCCGCTACCGTTCTCGCTTGCAGCACTGCTCTAGCATGTCTCATGGGCCGTGTTCGATCTCGGCCGTCGATCACCTGGGAATCCCATTCAAACGCGCAGCTCATCCGAGTGATAGCTCGCACATAGACTTATGAACGTGTCTGCCACAAGGCGGCTGCTCGTACCGTATATCTGCTCCTGACCGGTCCCTCGAGCGAGTCTTCGAGGATTTCTCTCGTCGCTCCCAAGCATCCCGAACCCAATCTGGTATTGGTCGTATACCCCACCAACACCCACACCCACGCCCACGCCTACGATGGCCCCGGAAATCCGCTTCAACGCGCTCGGCATCCCCTATCTTGTGGAATTCGCGAACGTCACCTTCCGTCCGCCTTCTCGGTCCAATTCACGTTCGTCCTCGCGCTCCATCGCGTCCCGGCGGGAAGCTTCGGAGTCACGACCTTCGCTCCATCTCCGCCCCACCCTCAGCAGGAGCACCCTCAACTCGGACCGGACGCTCGCCTCGACGGCCTCCTCAGAGACTCTCACAGGCCCAGGCACCGGACCCGACCTGACCGAGGATCATGGGCTGTACATCCGCTTCGCGTCCCAGCTCGCAGAGCCGCCTAGCAAGCTCTCCGAGAAGCGTCTCGCGCGTCTGAAGTACAGGATCGCGAAGGCGGTCCTGGCTGCCGGCATGGACACTTCGCCGTCCGGAGAGCTGGGCGACCCGATGGACGACGCGGGGCGCTGTCGCGCGTCGATCAGCAGCATTCGCTCGGAGAACCTGGAACGTGAGGGCATGCCGGGGTCGCTCTTTCGGGGCACGTATGGCCAGGTCATGACCGCGCTCAGAGCGGCAGGCCTCGCGACAGTGCCATGCAAAGAGTCCGGCGTGCAGTTTGGTGAGTCGTATTGCATCGCCTGGAGCACCATTGAGGTCGCTCACCCCAGAACGCCTCTAGCCACGTGTTTGGGTGCGTTGTTCGTGGCCCATCCCAATGAACGCGGTGGCGTCGACTTCACGAAGCTTACACTATGGGCATGAGCCTCTGGTACAGGTACCGTATGACCCACACTCACTGAGCAGTAACGCCTGAGCTGACTTGATAGCAAGGCTTTATTTACCGCTAACTTAAGGCGCTACTACTGGCGGGGTCAGAGTCGGCTCAACGTCAAGAGCATGGGTGTACTGTATATGTATCCCTGTAGTCTACGACGGTATACGTATGTAGATGGAATGCTCCCTGAGGGACCATCAAGCGCATTGCGTGAACAATCGCTGAATGCTCATCCTCGGGCTCACGACGCGTGCGGCATCATCGCGGCTTGCACAGCGACGCCTCGGTTCGCCGTGCGTGCGGATGGCACTTGACATCTGTGGCGGTGATTGCATGAGCAGTGATGATTATGGGTGTGTATGTAGTGTGGCAGTAGTACAGGATATACGAGGAAAACAACGACGTCGAAGTCCGTATTCGACAGAAAAAGCACTTGCTCTCTGTCGGGGAGTCGAACCCCGCTTTCGCGCGTCCAGTAGCAGCTGTTGACAGGCGCGTGTACTAACCGATATACTAACAGAGATGTTAGCAAGTCCTTTTTGATTAGCCCTCAAGATCAAAGAGTAGGTTCCCCCAGGGACTACAGCGACTGAAAAAGTGAACCCTGCCCGGATCGAACGGACGACCTTGAGGATCTCCCTTGGGTGGAGTGCTCCACCAGCTGGAATCTCACGCGCTACCACTGTGCCAAGGGTTCATGCCCTTTTGAGCCCACAAGCGAAACATAACCACAACACTTACAGTGTTCTCGATCCCCTTGGGTGGCTTCACCTGATGTCCCAGTCAGGCCATTCGGGTTGCGCCTAATCGGCGCGCACTGGCGAATAGCTCGGAATAAGTATTAGCAAGGCCATGATATCTCGCCGTTTATCATCCTGTGATGGTCATCTGCTCTACTTGAAGAGGTGCAGTGATCCCGCATGAGCCCCGTACTACATTATACTACTAATCCTGCGGCGACAAGGTGGCACAGGCTGATAGACAACATTGATATAGATCCTGCCTAAATGCCCGCCGCGGACGTATCGGCGGAGAGCGCAGCGACTGGCGTACAGGTGCCGTACGTTCCCCCAGGACGAGTCCCTTCAGAGCCCGCACATCGTGAATTCGAAGCGGAGCCCCAGGTGCTCATGGACGGCTCTGAGTCTCCGCCGGGTCCACCCCTAGATCGCGTGGCCCTCGTGAATCTGCTTGTACAACACCTATCCAAGTTCGTCGTTGCTCCAAGCTATCAAGGAAAGGTGGGTACTGACTGAAACATGTAGCTCCTGGGGTCTCCGTACCGCCGAGTTCGCGGTATATCTGTTCTTGGTCACCTTGTTCCCGAACACACTTCTACCTGCGTCCATCTACGGCTTCGCAACCACGGGTTCTGCCATTCTACTCTCTGGGTGGGCAGGAAGACTTGTCGACGAACACCATAATCTTGGCATCGTCCGTGCTAGCATTGTGACAATCAAGCTCGCGGCGTGCACGATGTATAGCGGAACCCTCACCCTCCTCTATCGTCCGCAGGTAGACGCGCCCTCTGCAAGCCCGTGGACCACTCCTCTAGCGTCCGGGATGTTTGCCCTCATTATCCTAGGAGGATGCGTCCACAACCTCTCCGGGGTGACCATATCCGTGGCGGTCGAACGTGACTGGATCACCTCCATCGCTGGGGGCTCTTCGGCCCACCTCACCACTCTGAACACGTACATGCGACGTATCGATCTGCTGTGCAAGCTGGTCGCGCCGTTGTTCGTGTCATTGCTGACGACAGCTGCTTCCTACCGCTTTGCTGCCATCTTCCTATGTGCCGTCGAAGTGGCCTGCATGTTCTTCGAGCTGATCTGTGGGTCCTCCTGTTCAGCACCCAGGTACTCCGCTGACTCGGAACAGGGATCGAGATCTCCTATCGCCGCTTCCCTGCGCTTGGGGACACACAAAGGGCAAGAGAAACAGCTCGGCGTCACGCCTCTCAGGATGACGAACGTCGAGAAGGTCATAGTCGCACCGCGCCAGCGTACGCCGCGGCTCTCTGGCACAACACGGTAGTGGGAAGAGTGAAGTCGCTCCTCCGGGATTGGCACGAGTTCTCGCAGTACCCCATCTTCCTGTCCTCCATCGCCATATCCTGCCTGTACCTCACCGTGCTGAGCTTCGACGGCACGATGCTCAGCTACTTCAAGGCGCACGCGTATAGCGACCCGTTCCTGGCGGGAATGCGTGGGCTCAACGTCATCGCCGGCCTTGCGGGGACTATCGCCATGCCGTATCTGGAGAGGAAGGTGGGCCTTGTCCGTGCAGGGAACTGGAGCATCTGGTTAGCACCTCGGTTGGACTTGTTCTTATGGTTGCTGACCGCTCGAAACAGGTCAGAGGTAGTGTGTCTCCTCCCAGTGCTCATCGCTCTGTATGTGGGCGCGCCTTCAGACGGCAGCCGCGCCCCTGCATGGAACGCAGCATTGCTTTTCGGGGGTACGGCTGCCTTTCTGATGTGCAGTCGTTCGCTGATTCTGACTACCGTCCTAGGGATGATGCTTTCCAGAATTGGTCTATGGGCCTTCGATCTGTGCCAACTCAAAGAACTCCAGCTTGCACTGGCAGAGCACCCTCGGCGAAACACGTTGTGCGTGTCGATCTCCGTCATAATGTCCCTCGTTTCTGCTGAACGACCCTCACGGAACCGGGCTGCAATATTCCTTGCAAAACATGGCCGATATGTTGAAGGCACGAGTCTTCTTGGATATATATTGCTCTCGATTCACGTACTGACGGAAGGGCGCGGCCCGCTGAAGTACATCCTCACTATCATCCTGAGTCGGCCGTCGCAGTTCAAGTACGCGGCGCTCGCATCCTTCATCAGCGTCTTCGCAGGCGCGTCCACCTACCTCCTATACGTGAAGAAAGAGCGCGGCCACGTCCTGCACCGGAGTTTGGGAGAGATCACACCTCTGCTCAGGAAGAACACTGGCTTGACGATGGCGGCGAGTCTAGTCAGGCCAGTATAGGGAGCATTTCCTTTCATGAAAGCATAAGTCAATGTCGTGGATAGTATCAGAACAACAGCGCCGCCGAGCGCGCGACGCGGACGCGGCAAGCGGTATAGTAGATAAAAGCGTGCATGTGGTACTCCAAAGGATCGGACTGGTATAACAAGGGTATGCACAACGAAAGCATCAACGCTCGCTCGACTCGTAAGCTCTCATCGCCGCACGTCGCTCAGGCGCGGGAGGACATGCCGACGCCCTTCTGGTCCGCGGACAGCTGCTCCGACGACGCGTTGTCGTGCATGTCGTCCGCGACGTAGTCGGTCGTCTTGTCTACGGTGATGTGCACCTGTGTTGACAACGACGTCAGCTTCGGAGAAGCCGCATGTGAGGTGGTCACCGATACTCACTCTCGTGCCCAGCCCTAGGTCGAGTTGGTCGGCGTTCTATACAGCGGTCAGGGTCAGCAAGGCGATGACTCGGTCGGATTGGCAGTAGTGCGACTCACGGAACCGCCTAGTCCTCGTTGAGTGGGGAAGATCACTGGTAGACGGTGCCCACTTGTCGACTGCGATTGCGACTGCGCCATGAGGCTCTTGCGCGCGTTCATGCTGTCGCGCGCCACATCCAGTAAGCAAGCCTGTCTTGGGGGATGACAGTTTGGAGATGCGGTACTCACGAAGCGAGGAACGAGTTGGCATAGACTACGAGAGCGTCAGTCATGGAGCCAGTGGTTCGGGCGAACGGATACGCACGCTTGCTGATCGCGAAGTGAAGTCCCAAGTAAATTAGCTCGTCCGACTTGACAAGCCACTGCCAAGGAGTGTAAGTCGTCTGGGCACGATGTTCATGGCCCGCGACCTACGAAGATCAAGGAAACGAGCGTAGTCACACTGCATGAACTCTCGTCAGACCCGTGTGCAGTCGTCACCGAAGAACTAGGTCAGAGACGTACGAAGTGATCAAGCCATTTTCGACGGTGTACAAAGTTACCGCGTTCAAGATATGATCGAACCTGTCGGCCGTGAGATATTGTCGGAGCTGCAGACAATGCGCCTGAGCTCTCACCTTCCTGTACCGCCGCGATGTCTCCGGAGGTAGAAGCATAGCCCGAGGGTGATCAGCCCGTCCACGACGGCGGAAAGGACGAGGCCGAGCGTGAAGACCCACTGCCATGAGACGGGACGCTGTCAGCGGCAGAACAGAACGGCCGGCGAGGATTTATACCCACTCGGAAGCGGACGCCAAACTCGTAGAAGCTCTTGAGGCGAATGCTGGAAAAGCAGGGCTCCTGTCAATATCTCGCTGCGGGTCGCGATCTCACGATCTCACAGTTCAATGGCCGTCACTTCCGAAATGCACTAGAGTAAGCAGGTAACATACGCGTACAGTTCGTGGTGACATACCGAATGCAGCAACTGTAAGGACGCGATCGTGGACGATGAGCGGAGTAAGTTGGATCACCAGCGGGTCATGTACGCACCTACTCGAGCGACCGCAAGGACGGCCTAGAGGCGATGTAAGCAGTCAACATTGGCATCGTTCTTCACACGCGAGACGTTCGCTTACGATTGGGGCCGTGATCCAGTAGTTGCCCTTGCTCACTGGGGGGAGACGTAAGCTACTCCGTGCGGAAGCGCGGGCGACGAACTCACATTTGAACAAGCGCATGGAGAAGAACCTGCGGGGGTTCAGCATGCTCCAAAAACACCGTGGACAGTAGCAATCGTACTCACAAGTGTACACACACGGTGATCACTGCCTAGTCGCGTTCAGAATGATGGCCCTGTGGAGCCGAGAAAGATGCTTACCGTCAACGCTATTGACACCTGGCAGACCGATATTAGAACAGACAGGTGGACGCAGCGCAGCGACTCACCCCAACGGTCCTAAATGGCGGCCGTCTCAACAAAATGATCATGTGCGGACAAGACGTGCGCTTACCAGAATACATGGTCCGTCACGTCTTCCTCTCCGAAATGGTTGACAAAGTACATGTAGTTTGCAGCGGCGATCATCGCTGAGTGCAGCAGGTCAAGGAAACTGACGACAAGGCGTGAGTACTGTCACCGCAACAGTAGCGCGGAGCTCCTCGTACAAGACCACCGCGACCTGCACAAGACTTCAGCATCCCTGCGTCTCTCTGTGGCAAGCATTTGGATAAACTCACTCTAATCTTCGTGGACGTCATATCCCGGGTGAACAGACGGAAGTATAGGACGGTCTGCATTCCGACAATGCCGGACAGCCTGTGCAGGGGACGATGGAATTCAGAGAGGTTCAGCATCGGTACACCACTTCCGTGAGGCGTACCCCGTACAAACCATGCCCCCGAGGAGGATGGCGCCGAGGCTCGTTTTGAGGTTCGACTCCGATAACACAACCATCTTCAACCGTCTTCACTCAGCGAAATGTCCAGCATGCACAACGAGCGACGATGGGGGGCCGCTAACGGGGGAGGGGGGAGCGCAGAAGTCGTTGCAAAACGCCAAAAGGCTATTTCAGGAGCGCCAGATTTGCGGGCGTGCCGACGCCGTTGCTCCCTCATAGG